GCTGGGTGTCTCAGTCTCTGGTTGCAGTTCCCCCTGTGGCCGCTGGGTGTCTCAGTCTCTGGTTGCAGTTCCCCCGGTGGACGCTGGGTGTCTCAGTCGGTGGTTGCAGTTCTCCCGGTGGCCGCTGGGTGTCTCAGTCTCTGGTTGCAGTCCCCCCGGTGGCCGCTGGGTGTCTCAGTCTCTGGTTGCAGTTCCCCCGGTGGCCGCTGGGTGTCTCAGTCTCTGGTTGCAGTTCCCCCGGTGGCCGCGGGGTGTCTCAGTCTCTGGTTGCAGTTCCCCCGGTGGCCGCTGGGTGTCTCAGTCTGTGGTTGCAGTTCCCCCGGTGGCCGCTGGGTGTCTCAGTCTCTGGTTGCAGTTCCCCCGGTGGCCGCTAGGTGTCTCAGTCTGTGGTTGCAGTTCCCCCGGTGGCCGCTGGGTGTCTCAGTCTCTGGTTGCAGTTACCCCGGTGGCCGCTAGGTGTCTCAGTCTCTGGTTGCAGTTCCCCCGGTGGCCGCTGGGTGTCTCAGTCTCTGGTTGCAGTTCCCCCGGTGGCCGCTGGGTGTCTCAGTCTCTGGTTGCAGTTCCCCCGGTGGCCGCTGGGTGTCTCAGTCTCTGGTTGCAGTTCCCCCGGTGGCCGCTGGGTGTCTCAGTCTCTGGTTGCAGTTCCCCCGGTGGCCGCTGGGTGTCTCAGTCTCTGGTTGCAGTTCCCCCGGTGGCCGCTGGGTGTCTCAGTCTCTGGTTGCAGTTCCCCCGGTGGCCGCTGGGTGTCTCAGTCTCTGGTTGCAGTTCCCCCTGTGGCCGCTGGGTGTTCTGAAGTCTCTGGTTGCAGCTCCTGTGGCCGGGCTGGGTGTCTCAGTTCTGCTGTAGTTCCTTCGTGGCCGCTGCCCAGTTCCTGTTGTAAGTTCCTCGTGGCCGCTGGGTGTCTTCAGTCTCTGGTTGCGTCTTCCCGGTGTACGCTGGGTGTCTCGTCTGTGGTTGCAGTTCTCGGTGGGCCGCTATAGGGTGTCTCAGCCTGTGGTTGCAGTTCCCCTGTGGCCGCTGGGTGTTCTAGTCTCTGGCTTTCGTAGGCTCCCCGTGGCCGCTATGTCTCTGTGTCTCTGGTTGCAGTTCCCCGGTGGGCTTTGGGTGTCTCTGTGTCTCTGGAGCCGCGTGTCTCTCGTGGCCGCTAGGTGTCTCAGTCTCTGGTTGCAGTTCCCCCGGTGGCCGCTGGGTGTCTCAGTCTGTGGTTGCAGTTCTCCCGGTGGACGCTGGGTGTCTCAGTCTCTGGTTGCAGTTCCCCCGGTGGCCGCTGGGTGTCTCAGTCTCTGGTTGCAGTTCCCCCGGTGGCCGCTGGGTGTCTCAGTCTCTGGTTGCAGTTCCCCCCGTGGCCGCTGGGTGTCTCAGTCTGTGGTTGCAGTTCCCCCGGTGGCCGCTGGGTGTCTCAGTCTCTGGTTGCAGTTCCCCCGGTGGCCGCTGGGTGTCTCAGTCTGTGGTTGCAGTTCCCCCGGTGGCCGCTGGGTGTCTCAGTCTCTGGTTGCAGCCTCTCGTGCTGGGTGTCTCGGGTTCGTGGTTGCAGTTCCCCGTGGCCGCTGTAAGCTCCCAGCCTGTGTTGCAGTTCCCGTGGCCGCTTGGGTGTTCTAGTCTTGGCTTAGAAGTTCTGGCCGCTGGGTGTCTCAGTCTCTGGTTGCAGTTCTCTTTCCCGTGGCCGCTGGGTGTCTCTTGTGTCTTCTGGTTGCAGTTCCTCCCGTGGCCGCTGGGTGTCTCAGTCTCTGGTTGCAGTTCCCCGGTGGCCGGGCTGGGTGTCTCAGTGTCTCTGGTTGTGTTCTCTCGGTGGCCGCTGGGTGTTCCCTGGGGTCTCTGGTTGCAGTTCCCGTGGGCCGCTGGGTGTCTCAGTCTGTGGTTGCAGTTCCCCCGGTGGCCGCTAGGTGTCTCAGTCTCTGGTTGCAGTTCCCCCGGTGGCCGCTGGGTGTCTCAGTCTCTGGTTGCAGTTCCCCCAGTGGCCGCCGGGTGTCTCAGTCTGTGGTTGCAGTTCCCCCGGTGGCCGCTGGGTGTCTCAGTCTCTGGTTGCAGTTCCCCCGGTGGCCGCTGGGTGTCTCAGTCTCTGGTTGCAGTTCCCCCGGTGGCCGCTGGGTGTCTCAGTCTGTGGTTGCAGTTCCCCCGGTGGCCGCTGGGTGTCTAAGTCTGTGGTTGCAGTTCCCCCGGTGGCCGCTAGGTGTCTCAGTCTGTGGTTGCAGTTCCCCCGGTGGCCGCTGGGTGTCTCAGTCTCTGGTTGCAGTTCCCCCGGTGGCCGCTAGGTGTCTCAGTCTCTGGTTGCAGTTCCCCCGGTGGCCGCTAGGTGTCTCAGTCTCTGGTTGCAGTTCCCCCGGTGGCCGCTAGGTGTCTCAGTCTGTGGTTGCAGTTCCCCCGGTGGCCGCTAGGTGTCTCAGTCTCTGGTTGCAGTTCCCCCGGTGGCCGCTAGGTGTCTCAGTCTGTGGTTGCAGTTCCCCCGGTGGCCGCTGGGTGTCTCAGTCTGTGGTTGCAGTTCCCCCAGTGGCCGCTGGGTGTCTCAGTCTCTGGTTGCAGTTCCCCCGGTGGCCGCTGGGTGTCTCAGTCTCTGGTTGCAGTTCCCCCGTGGGCCGCTTTCGGTGTCTCAGTCTCTGGCTGCAGTTCCCCCTCGTGGCCGCTGGGTGTTCCCAGTCTCTGGTTGCAGTTCTCTCGTGGCCGCTGGGTGTTCTACCCTGGTTGCAGTTCTCCCGTACGCTGGGTGCCTCCCAGTCTCTGGTTGTGCTCCCTCTCGTGGCCGCTGGGTGTCTCAGTCTCTGGTTGCAGTTCCCCCGGTGGCCGCTGGGTGTCTCGGTCTCTGGTTGCAGTTCCCCCGGTGGCCGCTGGGTGTCTCGGTCTCTGGTTGCAGTTCCCCCGGTGGCCGCTGGGTGTCTCAGTCTCTGGTTGCAGTTCCCCCGGTGGCCGCTGGGTGTCTCTGTCTCTGGTTGCAGTTCCCCCGGTGGCCGCTGGGTGTCTCAGTCTCTGGTTGCAGTTCCCCCGGTGGCCGCTGG